CCCTTCTGACGTTAAAGTCTATGAGTCTATGAGAACTGTGCAGTACAAACATTCAAATTAATGTCAAGCCGACTGAGCTTAAAAAGAAATTCTTCATAGCTGAAGTCTAATTATTTACCTTCTTATCTCTAAGACCATGTCTAGACTACAGAGAAGATTGACATAGCATCTGTCAATCTTCTGGCATTCAATTTAGCAGGTCTAGTAAAGACCCACTAAATCAAACACTGAGGGTGCAACCGTCGATGCTGGAACTCCTACTCCTCGTGAGGACAAGGGAAGTCAACAGGAGCATTTCTCCTGTCAACCTCCCACTGTGAGGATGGTGCAAAAACTCGGCTTAAGGTACGTCAACTCCAGTTACGTTTTTTACATAGTTGGAAATGTGTACCTTACGCTGACCTTTGGCTGTTGTGTAGCCTTGGCCTAAGGTTTGCATGGGGAACGGTCTCACAGAAACACACACCTCTCTTACGTGAGGATGAGGGTGGCCAACCAACCTGGCCCATGGAGATGGGCGACCAACCTGACCCAACCCTCCCTGCCTAGTGCTCTCTTCCTGGGACCTTCAGATGGACCCATCTCGTCTGGTACCATGTCGTCTCGAGGCAACAAGCGGCAGGGTCACAGCCCATCCTCCCCAGAGATCTGTGAGGGGTCCACCCCAGAACATGGCCAGCAGCAGCCTCTTGGTACTGTGCAGAAGGGAAGCACTTCCAGCCACAGCGGGGTAGGGATGACGTGGCCCGCGGCTTTGCAGAGGTTATCTCTATCCTTGCTCCTCCCACTCCTCTGTGGCTAGAAGCAGCTTGTAGAAAAGCTGCTGTCTGCCTGTAGAACAGCAGCTAACCCCTCCAGGATGCTGCTGGCCACCGACTCAACGCAGCCACCTCTTGCTCCTTGGCTACAGCGTGGGCAGGAAGGGGTTAAGCCCTAAGGCTGTATTGTGCACAGGGGAGGGGGACAATTCCCCAGGCCAGTGCTGGGTGGGGCTTTGGTACATGGAGGACTTGGCTCCTCCTGGCCGGCATCCTGGGCCAGAGGGTCCCTCCATGGCTTCCCTCCCAGCCAAAGGCAGCGGGGGGACAGAGCCAGCCAGCTAGGCTGTTGGTGAGATGAATGATCGGACCAGGGGCTGGTTCTTCGCACAGCACCGGGTCCAGGATGCACCTCACGGGGCAGGGTGGGGGGAGATGGAGGAGCAGTAGGGCTGAGGGGATGAAAGGCCCAGCAGGGAGAGGACAGTGAGGCAACCGGCCAGCCATGGTCAGCCCGCTCACCAGCCACTGAAGCAAGTTGCTAGTTCCGGCTGGAAACAAGGCAATGGGATGTGGGAGGGGCTGCTGGCCAAGAGGAAACACAGCAGCAGGGACTGTCCTGGTGGACCAGAAGGGGAAGCAGCTGGTCCCATATGCTGCAGCTGTGCCCAACCCCCACCACCCACTGGATTCCCGCCCCCCCACTCACTGCTGGTGAGTGGGCAGCAGGCCAGCATGGATCTGGCCAGCTGTAGGACCCGCCTGCACTGATAGCAGAGGGGAGACAGAAAATACGGGGACAATTTGCCCATTGTAGGGACACTTGCAGGAGGACTTAGATACCGGACTGTCCCTTTAAAAACAAGCCATCTGGCCACCCTAAGGGAAGGGAGCCGGTAACTTCACAATTGTTCTTGCACTTGATGCCGTCTAGCACACACTTAGCAATGGGCAAGGCCAAGCCAGCCTTCCTTTGGGTTTCATGCCTTGGTATTTATTTGCATGCAAGGCTTTTCCTGCTGTGTTCATTTTCACACACTTAGAGATGAGCTTTAATGCAGTTTCAGTTTTCTTTTCTGGCTTTGAACTGGCCTTGGCTGGGAAGGCGCTTGGCTGTGTAAGAAGAGGCCTGCTTCCAGAAATAGGCCAGAGGCTGAGAGCTCGGCCAATACAGAACAACAGTAGGAATTGATGAATAATGCCCAGGGCGCACTCCTCAGAGAGAAAGGGCTCTTTGGAGTCGCCCCCATAAACATGTGGGGGCAACAGATTCAGTGGGGCCTGCAAAGCCTGCCCTGACAAGCCCGGTTTGGTCATGAGAAAAGATACTGGCCACTCTATGATGACCAAAGTGCCGCACACGGCTGGACTCGGTCATGTGCCCAGTGGGCAAGTTCCCGCATCAGGCACCACCCTCAACGTGAGCCTTTATTGACTTGGTTCTTGGCTGCCTCAGCAAGGGCCTGCGTGAGGCGTGCGCAGCCGGTTCCCTCGCACACGGCCCCTGCACTTTATTATAGGCCCTGCCTGCCTGGGTGGCGCGTGCTACCTGAGGTGCGTCTCCAAGCTGTGGATGGCACATGGCGGTTTCCACCCCGCCCCCCTCCAGCCCAGGCAGGTGCTGGTGCTGAGGGTGCCTCAGGTACCCCCTCCCCCACGCTGCCATGCTGGGAGCTCTTGGTACCGCTATGGGAGCAGCCGCCACAACCCCACATGGGCATTGCCGGTGCCCTGGGCCTGGTGTGGGGCTGCTGGTACCCCAGGCTGCGGCGTCCCATTCGAACTAGGCCCCGCAAATAATCACACCAGCTCTGGCCTCAGCAAAGAGGCCAAGGCCTGAGCCACATCGCCTGTCGCTCGCAAGGGTGATTCCTCCCCTTCGGGGCCGAGGCACATCTTTCCTTTGGGCAGCTTATTCCCCAGACAGGCCAAAGAGTTTCTTGAACCTTCCTTTGCTTGCCTGCACTGGTCACTGTCAGGAGCCCAGACGACAGGGGCCCATCCAACATCGGGGTTCAATAGCTCCGTGGTTTGAGTATTGGCCTGCTAAACCCAGGACTGTGAGCTCAATCCTTGAGAGGGGCCATTTGGGGGCAAATCTGTCCGGGATGGTACTTGGTCCTGCCGTGAGGGCAGGGGACTGGACTCGATGACCTCTCAAGGTCCCTTCCAGCTCTGAGATAGGTATATCTCCATAATATGGCATCCTGATTGGTGAAGTTGGCAGTGCCCTGGTCTGTGCTTCATCTCCTCTAGCAGTGACGACGGCTGCCAGGCATGTCTCACCACGTGCCTTGAAATGTAGAGTCCTGGGCTCACGCCCCCAATGAAGCACCATCCACCTTGCCAGCCCCTGTGGAATCTCCATTGCAGCTCCTGGGCAGCAGAGGCACGGATGGAGAAACAATGAATCACTAATGGATGAGCTCATGTCTAGTGCTTCTCCGCCTGAGCCACCCCACCCTTTGGCCTGAGCAGAGCAGGCAAGTGGCAATGGCGCCTGGCTGCAACATTGTACGACCCCCATTTGCCAGGTTCTGGCAGCCAGTGGAGTACAGTACAGTCCACAATGAATATTCCTTACTCCTCATCTCGTTAACCCGCTGGCAGCCGTGCAATTTTTCAGTGGGTCACCTCAGCACATACACAACTATATGGAAAAACTAATTCCTTTCTTTGGCGACTTCTATTCAGGAAATACGGTCAGAGCTGGAGTTGTGGGGCTGGAGAACCACACGGTTTACGGTAAATTCTCTCTCCTGGTAGGTGGATCAAGGTACCAAACAACTAGGAGTTTTGCATGCTTTCCATTCCTGTCGCCTGGAAAGGTGGCCTTGCAAAACTGCTAGTTGTTTGGCACCTTTCCTAGTTTCCTGTATTTCCCGATCTCCTCGGGGAGGAGGAAATAAAGCAGCAACACTCCTTGCATGCATTTGAGGCCCCCTGACATTTTGCAGAAGCACTGGCACAAGGATTTCTTTTAGCATTTACAAGCTGCTAAAGAAAAACGCAGCAAATGCAGCAGGGACTAGCTGTAGGTCGTACTGTGTGTTACGCATCAGGCCATGTCCTCTGGTGGTGTAAATTGCATGGGTCCCATTGACTTTACTAGACTGACAGTGATTTACACCGAGTCTCTGGTCTGCTGCCTGCATACAGCCATGCAAAGCAGTCTCCCTCCGAGGTTCAGCAAGGAACTGCTGCCTTCGCACATACAGCCTTTGGCTCTTGTTTACAATGTTCTCAGCAGAGTGGGAAGTGGCCACAATTTCGCTAATGCTTGCATGTAATTCTTTTGCACATGGCTCCCTGAATTGTCCTGCAGCTGGTGCCAATGGGGAACACGTACAAATATAAAACAAACAAGCAACTCTCCCCCCATGCACTGGAGGCCTGATCCCTGGATGGAATAATGCCCTCAGGAAAAACCTGGCTTCTGAGAAGTGAATCCCGAGGCTTTTGCCTTTGTTCACTCCAGATTTGGACCCCACTGGCCATGTTCCCTGTAAGATGAGAGCTCGGGCGGCCGCCCAGGAGAGATTCAAATGCCGTCCCTCTGATTAGCAGAGCACCCACAGCCAGCAGTGTGTTTCTATTGGTGCTGCACATCTGCCCCATGTTGCACAGATGTGCACCACCAGTAGAACTGCACGCTGCTGGCTGTGGGTGCTCTGCTAAAAGGCACTTTGGTGCATATAGCAAAATTTATTCTGCACATTGATGGAAAAAATTAGCTGGAACATTTCTCCATTCTCTGATGTCACTGGGCAGTCACAGATGAAGGCCCTCAGGGGTAGACGGCACTCCCCAGCTCCTCTGCTGCTGTAACCCAGTGGGCGCCCCCATGCTTCGCACAACCTGCAGTGGGTGCCAGATGTACCCTGACAATCTCTTTGAAGTGACGTGGGATTAATTTCTGCCACAATGGGAATGCAATCAAGCTCTCTACAGCCCAGCCCCAAGCCTTGCCGCTTACTATAGGGCTAGTGCAGCGTGTTGGCCTGTCCCGGCGGCTTAGCCCCGTGTGTGTCTAGAGTCAATAATGTTTTCTGTAACGCCCCACTTCGTGATGCAGCTTTTCTGATGGTAAATCATTTACCATCACAAAGCCAGGAGAAGACGGGTGCAAGGAGACACGCCCAAGTCGATGATGAAGGGCAGGTTTTGGAGGTGAGCAGTGGGGTGTCCTCTACGATTAGTGACACTGTATAACTCTCTTTAAAAAAAAAATAGGGATTTCCTAACTTGTGGTCAGTTCCGAAAGAAAAGGAGAAGTGTCCCAGAGACGGCAGCAGGGAACGGTTATAGACAACTCAGCAGCACGTTCCAGTCCAGTCTTCTCCATCCTGCTCAAGAGGATCTATTGCGCTGAAGTGCTTTGTTCCTTTCCCCTGGATCGCAGCCCACCTGACCAGGGCAGGAGGGTACCTTCAGCCCAAGATGGACCCTGGCATCCTGGTGCTTCTGGTTGCAGCTGGCATCTGGCATGGTAGGTCAGAGAGCACCCTCTCCCTTGAGCCAATGTGGGCTGGAAAGCGGTGGCGTATCGGGTGCCTAGTGAGAGATTTGCCAGTTGGCTGGACTTACCGCACAACCCAGACGTGATTGTGCAGAGTAGGAAGAATGCCTCGCTCCTCGTTGGGTGTTGGCGCCATTCCTTCTTGAACAAACGCCCCCATTCAAGAAACTCGGCCGGATTTTTAAAGGAGTGTAGAAATGGAAAGAGGCAGCTAGGCACCGAGCGGGATTTAGAAAAGCACTCAAACTTCGAACGACGTCAGGAACGCCTTGAAAAATCAGGCCCAGGGAACTCTGCCTGAGTCGGGGGGGGGAAGGTGGGGGGGAATGAAAACACAGAAAGGAGCTCAAACGCCCCCATTCAAGAAACTCGGCCGGATTTTTAAAGGAGTGTAGAAATGGAAAGAGGCAGCTAGGCACCGAGCGGGATTTAGAAAAGCACTCAAACTTCGAACGACGTCAGGAACGCCTTGAAAAATCAGGCCCAGGGAACTCTGCCTGAGTCGGGGGGGGGAAGGTGGGGGGGAATGAAAACACAGAAAGGAGCT